CAACCAAATTTCCATTCAAAGGCTGCCATGAGACTTCCAATTTTTCAACAAAATTGGGCTGCCATGCAATTTCCCATGCAACGAAATTTCAAAGGCTGAAATTTGCTTTTCCAACCACCATGCAGAACCACATGCCGCAACAATCTCCACCTTGGCGAGCATTCGAAAAATAAGATTCAGGATCAATAGCTTCATTCCCTTGATGCCACAATGCCCCGAGGGGCATTAAGCACTTTGGACACTAATCAAGTCCAAGCAATGCTTGAACTTGATTCCACTTACCGACTTTGTCATCATATCTGCAGGATTCTCGTCAGTTGATATCTTTTCAACGAGCACATCTCCATTGGATATAACCTCCCGGACAAAGTGATACCGCACTTGAATATGTTTGGTTCTCTCGTGGTACATGGTGTTCTTCGTCAAGTGAATGGCACTTTGACTATCACAAAACACCATAATCTCATTTTGTTCTACCCCGAGGTCACTAACCAAACCCTTTAGCCATAATGCTTCCTTTACTGCCTCAGTAATTGCCATATACTCTGCCTCAGTTGTTGACAAGGCGACTGTTGATTGCAATGTAGCTTTCCAACTAATGGCACACCCTGAGAGAGTAAAGACATATCCTGTAGTTGATCTCCTTTTGTCCAAATCGCCAGCAAAATCAGAGTTGACAAATCCGACTACATTTCCACTTGGATTAGCACTCCGATCATAGACTAGTCCAATATCTACCGTGCCTCGTAAATACCGGAGGATCCACTTCACAGCTTCCCAGTGTCCTTTACCTGGATTAGCCATATACCGACTAACCACACTAACTGCATGTGAAATATTAGGACGAGTACATACCATAGCATACATTAAGCTCCCAACAGCACTCGCATAAGGAACACGTGCCATAAACTTCTTCTCTTCCTCCGTTTCTGGTGACAAATTTGATGAAAGCTTAAAATGTGCTCCCAAAGGAGTAGTCACAGCCTTAGCTTCATGTAAGCCAAACCGCTCAAGTACTTTTTCAATGTACTTCTTTTGAGAGAGAAACAATTTACCTCCCTTGCGGTCCCTGTGAATCTCCATTCCTAAGATCTTCTTAGTTGCACCCAAGTCTTTCATCTCAAACTCACCACTAAGCTGCTTCTTCAAATCATCAATGATTAACATGCTTTTGGCAGCAATAAGCATGTCATCAACATACAACAGCAAGTAAACCCAAGAACCATCTCCAAGCTTTTTATGATAGACACAACTATCATAGTTGCTCCGAGTGAATCTACTCTTAACCATGAAGTTGTCAAATCGTTTGTACCACTGCCGAGGCGACTGCTTCAATCCATATAAGGATTTCTGGAGCAAACAAACATGATCTTCTTTTCCTGAGACTATGAATCCCTCTGGTTGAGACATATATATCCGTTCCTCCAACTCACCATGCAAGAAAGCATTCTTTACATCAAGCTGCTCCAACTCAAGATCATATAAAGTAACCATGGCAAGTAAAACACGAATAGAGCTGTGTTTCACCACAGGAGAGAATACCTCATGGAAATCAATACCCTTTCATTGTGTGAAACCCTTCGCAACCAATCTGGCCTTGAATCTGGGTGTCTCTACCCCTGGGATTCCTTCTTTTCTCCTGAAGACCCATTTGCATCCAACAATTCTTTGTCCCTTTGGTGGCATGACAAGCTTCCATGTCTGGTTCTTATGTAGAGACTCAATCTCCTCTGTCACGGCAACAAGCCAATAAGGAGATTCTTTACTGGTAATTGCTAACCGATAAGTGTTGGGATCCTCAGCCTCCACTGGTTTTGTAACTGATAGAGCATAGGCAACATAATCTGTATAGCCATATCTCTGAGGTGGTTTGGTCTCCTTCCTCTGTCTACCAGTAGCAATATTATACTGCTGTTGTGTTTGTTCAGGTGCCTCCACCTCCATTGGAGTATCTGTTAGCTCTGGATCTTGCACCTCATCTAGATTCTCTTGGACAATACTGTCGTCCCGCACTGCCTTTTTTGGAGTTGTTGCTTCAAACTCCACCTGCTTGCTAACTCCATGGTCTGGCTTTGCAATTGTAGACTCCTCTTTTGCTTTTTGGAGCATACCAGACTCATCAAAGGTTACATCTCTGCTCATGAGGAACCGAGGTGACTTCTGAACACACCACAGTCTATAGCCTTTTACCCCGGAAGCGTACCCTAGAAATATGCACTTCACTGCCCTTGGCTCAAGTTTACCATCCCTAACATGAGCATACACAGGACAACCAAATATCCTCAACTGTGAATAATCAGCAGGAGAACCTGACCATAATTCTTCTGGAGTCTTTAATCCAATTGCTGTGGATGGAGATCGATTTACAAGATAGCTAGCATGATTAACAGCTTCTGCCCAAAAGTCCTTTGATAATCCAGCATTTGAGAGAATACACCGTGCCCTCTCCAAGAGTGTACGATTCATCCTTTCTGCAACACCATTTTGCTGTGGCGTCATCCTGACAGTGCAATGTCTCACAATTCCATTATTCTTGCAAAAAGTATCAAACTCACCACTACAGTACTCAAGACCATTATCTGTTCTTAGACGCTTGATTTGTTTTCCAGTCTGCTTCTCAATCAGCATCTTCCACTGCTTAAAGGTGAGGAACACGTCACTCTTACTCTTTAAGGTGTATACCCACACCTTTCTTGAATAATCATCGATGAAGGTCAACATATACACAGCTCCACCTTTTGATGCAATAGGCGAGGGACCCCACAAGTCTGAGTGAATGTAATCAACTGTGCCTTGAGTTCGATGAACTCCTTTGCCAAACTGCAACCTGCACTGCTTGCCATAAACACAGTGCTCACAGAAGTCTAGCTTGCCAATTTTCTGGCCACACAGAAGACCCCGCTTGCTCAGCTCCATCATCCCTCTTTCACTCATATGCCCAAGTCGCATATGCCATAACCGAGTTACATCTTTATCTGGACTGCTTGAAGTTGACACAGCACATGTGCCATTGACTGTGCTTCCTTGTAAGTGATAAAGACCACCAACTTTCTTCCCCTTCAATATTACGAGAGCTCCTTTAGAGACTTTGAGAACTCCACCTACACAGGAGTATCGGCAGCCCTTGGAGTCAAGCTCACTCATGGAAATGAGATTTTTCTTCAAACCCGGCACATGACGAACCTCGAATGTTTTGACCATCCCATCATACATCTTGATCCGGATGTTGCCAATTCCAACAATAGGCAATGTTGTATCATCACCAAGAACCACCGTGCCAGTGGCTGGTTTATATGTTTCAAACCAGTCACGTCGTGGGCATACATGGAATGAGCAACCCGAATCTAAAATCCATTCCTCACCGGAGGAGTTTGTAGAGACAGATAAAACACAATCTTCATCATCTAAATTATCACTGCAACTGGCAATGTTAGCATCACCGGATTTTTCAGCTTTCTTCTCCTTGAGCTTGGGACAATTTTTCTTGAAATGTCCCGTCTCATTGCACTCGTAACATCGAGCATGCTTGGCTCTCGATTTGGATCGAGACTTTCCTCGCTTGTAGAAAGTTCTGTTATTTTGTCTACCTCTTATGACCAATCCTGTTGCTTGATCACCACTCTTGTCTCCGGACACCTTCTTCTTCAATTCTCTTGAATTCAGGGCCGCCTTGACATCTTCCATAGAGAGTTGATCTCTACTATGAAGATGAGTTTCAACAAAGTTGTCATAAGAGTCAGGCAATGAGCACAAAACAATAATTGCCTGGTCTTCATCTTCTATATTCACATCGATATTCTTCAAGTCTAAAATGAGCTTGTTGAACTCATCAAGATGGTCTTTGATGGAACCACCTTCATTCATACTGAGGGTGAACAACCGTTTCTTCAGATATAATCGGTTAGTGATTGATTTGGTTAAGTAAAGGGCTTCTAGCTTCGACCATAATGCAGAAGCTGAATTTTCTTCTGCAACCTCCCCCAAGACTTCATCAGAAAGTGAGAGCTGAATTGCACTCAGCGCCCGCTCCTTCAAGTCTATCTTCTCTTCCTCTGGTAGAGTTTCCGGTAGCCTAGCTTCCCTTTCTAGTGCTTTCCACATCCCTTGCTGTACTAGCATGGCCCGCATCTTCAACCTCCATAAGCTGAAATTTTTGCCACCATTAAATTTCTCAATCTCATACTTGGCTCCGGATGCCATCACGATTAAACCAATTTCTCAAGCACTGACCACTGCCGTAGCTCTGATACTAGTTTGTTAGCATAAATTGCTTGAGATTTTGGTTAACCCACTACAAGATTAAGAAATTAATGGAATAAAAAAATACAGCACCACAAGAAAGACAGAATT